CATGTCTCCAAACAGGTCATTTATCATTGACTGGAAGGTAGCAGGCATGTTACACATTCTGAAGAACATGACCATGGGTTCAAAAAGTCCTCAGGAAGTAGCAAAAGCTGCCTTCCATTGATCATATTTTCTCATACATACATTATTATATCCCCATCTAATGTCCATCTTGGTGAAGATCTTGGCATCCTTTAGCTTACCTATAAGATCAGAGATTAGTGGTAAAGGGTAGTTATTCTTAACCATGTGTTCATTCAGGTAGTGATAGTCTTGGCAGGATTAAAGGGAACCATCTTTCTTTCCAACAAAGAAGAAGGGAGAGGATTGAGGGGATTCAGAAGGAACAATTGTTCCTTTGGTGAGATATTCATCAATGAAGTCATTCACAGCTTTCTCTTCTTTTGTGTTGAGCAGGTATATTTTGCACTTCCGCAGTTCGAAGGATTCCTTGAGATCAATCTTATGGTTGTACTTGTGTTCTGGAGGAAGGGTACTGTTAGCTATGTCACCAAATACATCTTTATATTGTCAGAACTCTTCAGGTACAAGTTCTTTGAAGGTTTTCTTTGGTTTGGTGGTGTCCTGTGCAAGTGTCTGTGAGATGTTATCAGTTTTTCAGATAAAGGTATAGAAATTGACATTGTCATTAATTGGATCTAAAAGTCATGGGAGGGTTTCATTAGCAGGATCCCACTCATCTTCAAGTTCTTCTAGAGCATTGTAAAAGACATCTTTGTCTTTGATTTCTTCTATGGTTGCTTTTTTCAGGGTACACTCCCTTAGTCAGACTTCTTGGTTAGTCCAATCGATATCTGGGTTTTCTTTCTTTAGCCAAGTCATTCCCAGGATAGTGTCTTCTCCTCCTAGAGAGGTTAGGAAGAAACATTTTCGCATGGGGATATCTTTGATTAAGAATGAAAGTTCACAGTACCGTGTGATTCTTCCAGCTTTGTTTAATGTGCTGTCTATGTTTCACACAGGTATTGGGTTTCAAGTTTGTGTGTGCAAATGTTCTCTTTGAGTATGAACTTCTCATTGATAAATTTTCCTTCTGTGCCGCAATCAATTAGAGCAGCAGCTACAGTGGTTTTCGGTGACTTGTTTGATCTGATGGTTAAAGGCAAACAAATAGAATTAGTGTTGCCAACAGATTGTACTACTAGTCTGATTCTGGGAGTGTCTGACACCAGTGCAGGCTCCCCTAGGCAAAATCCTCCTCATCACTACTTTCATCTTTCTTAACTGGTTTCTTACCAGCTTTCTTCATCTGGCATGCTTTAAATGCCTTCCATTCTTGGAATTCTTTGTAATTGTCATCAGATGACTCCTTGATTACCTTTCTTGTGTTGGTCGTAACCATGGGATGGTTAGGGCAGTCTGCAGCTAAGCCTTTCTTACCACATTTGAAACAAAGGCCACCCTCGCATCTGCACTCCCATTCTTGAGGAGTAAGATAAGTCTTCCTTGTCTTCTTCTCACCATCTTCATCATCTAACTCTGTCTTGTCAATATCCATGGCATATGGGCTGCACGCCTTGGTATAGGAAGGAGGTGCTGTTAAGGTCCTTTGTACCTCGATGTCTAAGGCTTTCTCTAGCCAGGCTTCAATTGTTGTGGGGGTCATGTTGAAGGTGTAGATAGTGGAGGTAATCTCACACTTCAAGCCATTTCTGAAGAACATAATCTTCGTGTTCTCTTCATTGATGCTGGTATCAGTGAGGATGGTGTGGAATAGGGATACATAAGCAGCTATGCTTCCAGTTTGTCTAAGAGTAGAAATGCAATGAATCACAGTCTGTTCAACATTCTTAGGGAAGAATGTAGCTTTAAATTGTTTAGCAAAATTGGCCCATGTGCCATATGTCTTAGCTGCTACTGCAGCTTTCAATTGGCCTTTGGCCCACTTGGTGGCTTTGCCTTTGGTCATGAGGCTAAGTTTGAAGATAACTTTTTTCTTGTCATTATCATATACTTCATCATTCATGTCAAGGTACACCTCAACTTGGAGGGTCCATCCCTGAGCTAGGTGGGTGTCACCGTTGAAGGGAGAGGGAGTTTTGCCAATTTCTTTGGGCATGGTGGCAGTGGGGGATCGTTTGTAAGTTTGGGTAAAGAAGTTCCAAACTTTATTCTTTGGGGCTTGGTTGGCATAGAATGCTGCCCACTGGTTTAATGAATATCTGTCACCTTTAGCATCTAGGGTATAGAATTCATTCTTTTCTTCATCCCAGGTGAAACCTGGAGGGTTTGGTGTGATGGTCAAAATGGTGTCTGGTTCTGGGCATGAGTTCTAGGGAACCATGCGGTATAGAAGAAACTTGACCTTTTTTTACACTCGGCATTACAAGAACGTCTTGACAAAAACAAAGAGTCTAAGTGTGAACCTATTCATGAGTCATGCGAGTTTAGCAGTATATTGCAGGCCCTGGTCTGCATAGGTCAAGTTAAAGAATACAAATGTAAGAGATAGAGTTTAAATAGAGGAATTAAAGTGGAGCTTTAATAAATGAATCAGAGATAGAAAGTGAATAGTGAATCATAAAAGAGAATGAGAATCATATGATAGAATGTGATAGAATGTCTGAGAATGATTAGTAATGTGAATAAGTGAAGAGGTGAAAAGGGAAAAGATATAACCATAACAGAAAAGATTGGTGAGTTTGATTTTGAAGTCAAGTGCATACCTGGGGAAGAGAACCTGCTCCAAGACATGCTGTCCTGGATGTACGCCTTTGACACCCCAGGTACTATCCACTCCCACAATGAATACATGGAGTTTGATGTGGTGGAGGGCTTGCCTAACTTATTGGCCCATCTCATAACTATGCCCCTGTTGGTGGGTGGTGAAGCACAGGTGACAGCCTTGTGAAAAAGCACCAGGGTGGCCACACGACCAGTGGTTGTACCACCTTAGGTGCCCAAATGGTGGCAGCTAGCTGCAGTGAGCCAATGACCAATATTGTGTGAGTCCTCAACTATGGAGGACCAACAACCAGTATTGGGCAAATCTTCAGGGCCACCAGCTGTGGAGAGCCAACAACCAGTACTGAGCAACTCTTCTGGAATGTCAGCTGTAGGGGATCAACCACCAGTAATGGACAAACCTTCACGATTGCCACGTCATCGTGGGAGGCAAGTAATCCCACTAGCTGAAACAGGCCAGCCAGAGACTGTGGGCAGAATTTGCCAGGAGGGTGCAGGACCATTTCATTCTGTGCAGGCTGGGCAAACAAAAGAAGGGGGGAAAGGGAGATGATGCCCACCTCCCAACATTACAAACCCACCTGAACCTAGCAGAGGAGGACCATTTTATCTCACTGGCACAACTCCCAGACCCAGAGAATGATGACAAAACACTAAAAGACATCAAGGGTCAATATCACCTTGACCTGTTCTTCCAGAAAGTGATGGACTCACCAAAACACTTCCACAACTTCAAAGTGAATGACAGAATCTTGTGCATCTATTTGAACGACCAGGTGTTGTTATGCATACTGGACATAAAGGTGGATGGGAGGTGCCTGCAAGAGAACATCATCAGTCAGGCGCATTCTTTACTTGCTCATTTGGGCACACAGAAAACACTCACCTACCTGAGGGACTGGGTATGGTGGAAGACCATGGTCTGGGATGTGCATGTGTTCTGTGAGACTTGCATGACCTGTCAGACCAGCAAGTTATCCAACCAGAAGCCATATGGATCGCTGAACCCCTTATCTGTTCCCTCCAAACCATGGGACGCCATTGGTATTGACTTCCTGGGGCCACTCCCCCTGTCCAGAGACAGAAATGGTGAATATGACTTGATAACAGTCATCATTGACCTTTTCAGCAGGATGGTACACTTGGTGCCAAGCTGAACGACCTATATGGCAAGAGAGATAGCCAAATTGGTCTTTGCAGAGGTGTATAAGTACCATGGGGTGCCTAAGTATATCATTAGTGACTGGGACATCCTATTCACCAGCACATTCTGGACTAACTTCAATAAGTTAATTGGCACCAAACAAAAAATATCAAGTGCATACCATCCAGAGACCAATGGCTCAACAGAACATGCCAATAGAACCATGGTGCAAATGCTCAGGGCATGCATAGCACCCAACCAGTGAGACTGGGTACCAAAACTCCCAGCCATTGAGTTTGCTATTAATATAGCAAGTTTCAAGTTAATTTAATGCTCACCTTTCAAGACCAATTCAGGCCAAAAACCTAGGGCCATGATATGGGATGATCTACTGGAAACTGAGTATCCAGGAGTGTGCATATTCCTACAGCAGATGAAACAGGGGATTATGGAGGCCCATGACAGCATAATTAATGCTAGGGTTAAACAAACAAAGGATGCCAACAAGAGGTGGTGTCCTTGCCCCTTCAGTCAGAGAGACTTGGTCTACATCTCAACCAAGAACTTAAGCTTCCCAAAGGGCTTGGCAAGGAAGCTCTTACTTAAGTTCATGGGACCATCCAAAATCCTTGAGGACTTCAGGAACAACTCCTTCCAAATAGAATTACCAAGTAGGTTGAAACAACAGGGCATCCACAATGTGTTCCACTCATCATACCTGCAGATTCACACCCCCAATGATGATTGGTTGTTCCCTGGGTGGCTGGATAATCAAGTCACAGAGTTTGAGACTCAGGAGAGGGAGTGGGCTGTAGACCAAATCCTGTCCCATAAGGGGAACCAATCAGATGCAGTGTTTGAGGTGAGGTGGAAGGTGGGTGACATGATCTGGCTCCCATATGACCAAGTCAATCATCTTGGCACATTGCAAGACAACTTCGATGTCTTAGGCATCAAGACCATGGCTGACCTGGTGGATGGCAACACAGCACCAACTATTGAGCATTATCATGTGTTTTTTGGGGGTATGGGCATGCAAGAAGATTACTATAAGACCCCTCAACAAAGAAATCACCCCACTAACTGACCTCCATCTCAAACAATGCCTTCACCCAACTCCAACCCAACTCCCCCTGCTCTGTCCTTGTGATCCATGGGCAATGGGTGCTTCATGCTACCAGACCACTACCATCCCAACATCTCCTTGATCCTCACCCTCAACCAAATCCAACTCTACTTACAGCATGATGCAGACTTGCATGGGGGAGCTGACCCTAACACCATCCCCTCCCTGGTGGGCTATGATGAATTTGCCATCACCCTGAACATGAATGCAGGGAATGGGATCCAAGTCACATTCATTAACCCTGAGGGTGGTGAAGGTGTGCATATCACTGGTTGTCCCCCTGCTCTAGCTGAGTTAGTGGGACTTGAGGCCACTTGACGCACCATACCCACCCCTCGCAACCCTCATGAATCAGTTGGAGGTACCTGGCTTGACTCCCACAGGACTGAGTTAATGGATGAGGCACTCTGGAATAATCTTGAGCACATCAAGAAGCAGAGGCAGTGGAGAGAAAGGGGGGTATCTGAGAGGTGGGCCAAATGTCAGAGGAGAGAGGATGATGAGGCTATGAAACCTTTCACACCATCCATGACCACCCACACTGGACCCTCCAGCACTTCCAACCCAGCATCCATTCCCAACACCACTCCTCCTGCTTCATCCATTACTCCTCCTAAACAACCTTCTCCTCTGGATGGTAATGATACCAAGATGGGCAACACCGAGACCACCAATGAGGTGTGTGCATCTAAGGGCAAAGATCACATGCCAAAGAAGTAAGAGGTCACTGGAAGACCTCTGGAGGGGGATATGTGATGTCTGTCTTTTGACTTGTCAGGATCCAGTATTCAGACAAGTCCAGACAGGCCTAGACTCCCCAGTTGTGCAATCTGAAACAAAGGCTTTTAACATCTGATTATCTGATTATCACAAGCTTCATATTACTACTGTCATAAAAGTCATAGTTTACTGTTAGTTTTGACTTCACTGTTCTTGAATTTACTTGACTTGTATCTGGTTATTCTTGTGCATCTTGAATTCTCTCATTGTGCCATATCCAAAAGCATTAGCTGCTCACATCTGTCACATTAAGATTCATTACCAAAAATAAAAATGAGGTTTTACTGATGATGCATAACCCTGCCATGAACAGGTGCTGGACATCACACATAGCAGTGTGCCTCATGCATACCAGTTATACCACCCAAGACAATATATGCCAGGAGGTACAGCAACTCAATATCAGGTACACACCACTACAATACTCACTCATGCAGACTTGTTCAGACTGATTAACATTCATGCATTCTCGCCATTTCAATGCAGTATGTGCATCTATTTTCAGTGAGACGAAATATCTCATTTTTTATTAGGGTAGCAATCTACATATTCACAATCATTCCAATCACCCCTTCATCATACACATCATGATCCAGTTAGACACAAGAACCTCCTTGAGGACGAGCCACAAAACAAGCCCAACTACATCATCACGATTGTTGGGGCAGCAATGCATTGCATGCTGCTGGAGCAATGAATGCTGGTGCTGTCTGTCAATCCCTTCACAGGACTTGTTCATTATAATAAGTTCATCGAGATCCTCAAGACTCTCGACAGTCTTGAGGGAGAAGACCTAATTGCATTAGAAACTTGTCAATGCTATATACTTGATGTCAGAGCATCACAGATGCACACTCTTTCGAAAGGTCATGGGAATCTAGTGTAGATAACGTAGATAACATAGATATCACCGATTATTTTGATGATCTGGATAATCAACAGCCATCTGTGCATAAATCCATGCTCAGGGTTGAAACATAACAAAAAGTGTGCGCTTACAAATGCAGACCTGAGCTAAACCAAAAACAAATTGCTCAAAAGCACTTCAGAGTGAGCTTCGACTAACTCCGCTTTTTAGATGAACGCTCATCGAGTTTTGGTGTCAAGACATTGACACCCACTAAGGAACACATTGTTGTAAGTGATGATTCTGGACTTTGTTGGATGAAAGCTGAGATGCAGTTGCGACTAGTAGTTTATTATGTCTTCACCCATCATTAGAACGCAGGAGGCATCAACAATAACGCCCTGCCAGAAATTTGAGGGACACACTGATTTGGTCTTTGGTGCCATACATCTGCCAGGCGGAGAGTGGATAGTGACTTGTTCATGGGACGGCTCACTGCAGGTATGGGACTGGAAGAGTGGGAAACAGATTGGAGACGACTGGTGGGACGGAGAAAGTGAGGTGCAGAAAATAGCATTGTCTCCGGACGGAAAGAAGGTGGTCAGTGGGAGTATGGATGGTGGAGTGAGGTTGTGGGACATCGACAGAGGGAAAATCATCGTGAAATGGATGGGGCATACAGATGGGGTGCAGTCCATCTGCTGGAGTGAAGATGGTCAGCGAGTGTTGAGCGGATCGCTCGATGGGACTGCAAGGGAGTGGAATGTAGAGAATGGAGAGACAACACTCGGTCCAATTGAGATAGGGCACCGAAATGTGTGGGCAGCCGTCTACTCGCCAAACATGTCCATGTTTGCGACTACTGCAAATGACTGGACTTCGAACAATTCCGAGGTCCTGATCAAAATCTGGAATGTAAAGACTGGCGAGCTTGTTGCCACTCTTGATGGACACACAATGTTTTGCTTGGCTTGGACCATGGATGGAAAAGCGCTTATCTCTATGATGTTATACTTGCACATTTATTATTGCGCATTGCGCAGTCTGCGTGGTGTGCGTTTCAAGTGACCCATTATTACCGCAACCTGCGCGCTGCCCTTTGTGAAGTCTGCGCATTGCCTGTTCAAATTGATGACCTGGGGCTCTCACCATGTGGATCACTTGCATCTTAATCATTAGGACAAACCTCCTGAAATTCGACTACTAGTAGTAGTGAAAGGACATCAATTGTAAAATACATTGCACAGTACTATGCTTATAATGATGAATCAGAAATTAATTTTTCAGCAAGATGGTCACAAGCTTCTTCAACAAATTGCTCTGTGTGGTTAAATGTGGCTCCCTGCTCAATGATCTTGAACATCAGTTCCTTGCACCCTCCACTAACATGCCTGAACTGCAAATCTTTGAAGCGTTTGACGGCTTCACAATATGGTTGTGGGTTTCATCCATCGAGAAGGAAATGAGCCATGCCATTCCACCAGATAGCGTGCCAGTCCTTGTTACAGCCGACTGGATCTTGGCAGTCACTAGTGTGGATCAAAATTTTGGGCTCCTCCACAGCCACAATACGACGATGTTCTTCAAGAGCTGCTTGCACATAGACCAAGCTTGTAAATACATCGTTCCCTAAGAGTTGCCGGTGTTGTGCAGTCAATTGGGTAATGGGAGTGTTGATGAGTTGCTTGAAGGCGAATGGGAAAATTGCACCCATATTATACTGTATGGCAAGGTTAATGAGCTGAGCGGGGTGGAAATGATATTGAGTAGATTGAATGCATGAAACCACAAATTTCCGCGTGTGCAAGCATTGGTACATATCGCAGAAATGGAGAAAGTTTGACAATTCTTCAAGGGTGTATTGACCAGCGTGTGCTCTGCAACTGGTTTAGCAGCTTGACTCGACAAAAGCCGTAGAACAACAACTTACCTGCCAAAGGTATGTTCAAGGAATAATTCAAACATCTCCTGTGTTGTACCAGCAAGATGGATGGGCCTCTCATCACTTTTCCTGTCAATCTCTTCCAATCCAGCACTTTCTGTAGCAGCAAACATGCCATTGAATGTTTCAGAATTTGAGGACAAGACCGAGCCACAGAGCCTATATAGCACATTATCAATCTGAGGGCACCCAAACTGCGTGAATGATTTAATATATCAATCAAAAAGCTTACCTGAAAGACATGACTTGCATTAGAAAAATAATAGACAGGATGTCGAGTTGGTGTGGTAGAAGCACCTAGGCCTGACATAGTCTCTGAACTGCAATGTTAACAGTTTGATGGGAAATCAAGTTTGAAAAATGTTCGACACAGTGTAGCACATGATCACATGAGTTGTTACTTGAAGGAGAATATTCACTCTGACACCTACTTACTTCTCATCAATACATACTCACTTCTCATTGACACCTGCTCACTTCTCATCAGCACTTACATCAAGGATCATCCCCGTCTAACAAGAGAACAAGATCAAGAGAGCCAATGACCAATACTGTGCAAATCTCAGCATGAAGTATGTCAAATTTTGGTCTCTGTCTTGGTGTTCTCGTCCATGTGTTGTGAGTCATGTCGTGTTGTTTGCAACCTCCATGACAATCATCCCCGTCTAGCAAGAGAACAAGATCAAGAGAGCCAATGACCAATACTGTGCAAATCTCGGCATGAAGTATGTCAAATTTTGGTCTCTGTCTCAGTGTTCTTCAAAGCATATCATTAGCCAGGCTGTTGTCATTGAGCAGGAATTTTCGACAGGTTCGTCATTACTTTCATTCTGTCTATCTTATGCCAACTGTTTCTCTGGATCCTCTCCCCATTGGCCTCATTGGCACAAACATTGGGTTAGAATTCCCCCATGCACTATACCTCACGTCCATTATGTTCGCCCATGCGCTATACCACACGTCCATTATGTTTGCCATCGTGCTCCTTCCCCCATGCACTATACCTCACGCCCATTATGTTTGCTGGACTTACCTCTGCATCAGTTCATTCTAGATATTTTTCATGATGGAGAACATTCACATTCTGGTCATTGGTAGTACTACTAATTTCTCTATGTAGTGTATATATGCAAATGACTCACTGTAAATGTGTTCGGATTGCAACGTCTGTGAGTGTGAGTGTGAGAGTCTTGCTGCTACTCGAACTTTAAGTTGAAATCACAGTTATCATGACTCGGATGCCTAGTATGCTACCGCAGATGCTTCCTCACTTTCCACTTTGCACAATGGCCCATACTCCATGGCCAGCTAACTTCCTTGTTGCCTATGATACATTATCAGACATTTACAGGCATGCTTATCGCATTCTGAAACAAGAGGATGCAGACCCTCTTCAGCTCACATATCATTTAGAAGCCATAACGGCTGATGCTATACCATTACTCGAAGCATTTGAAGTTGATCCTTGAGGATTGGAAGTGCGGGACTGGCTATCTGATGCAGCTACTTTACTGGGGAACTTGTCTGTCCAACTATCATCATTTCGACAAAATATTGAGACTCGGTGCGTTTTGTTCTCACCACTCCATTAAGCAATCACTTACTGCATTGACAGGGTGGATGGTGATATTGTATTTGCCAAACCTGTGACCTTGTCGCAAACAAGCTGCGCAGGTCGCCCAAAGAAGATTATAGACCTCGAATTCCTTGCTGACGCATTGTCAAACTCTCGACAAATCAAGCTTAGGGAACTGGCGGACATATTAGGAGTTCACAGGAATACTTTGCGTCTCTATATGAAACGCCATGGTATCCAAAGGAAGTACTCTGAACTCACAAATGCTGATCTCGATGTTCTAATCAGCAAGTCAAGAAAAGGCGCCCGGACTCTGGAATAAGATACATTATTGGGCATCTTCGCAGGCATGGCATCCATGTGCAACATCATCGAGTGGTACATTCGCTTCGTCGAGTAGACTGGTTAGGTCAGGTGCTGCGAGATCGACAAGTCAAAAGACGGCGCAAGTATTACATCAAACGGCCCAATGCACTCTGGCACATGGATGGCCATCACAAACTAATTCGATGGGGGATTGTAGTTCATGGATTTATTGATGGCTTTTGCAGAACGGTAAATATATGTTTCGTGTGCTTGTAAAAAAGTAGTTTATTGATGCGGCCTCTTTTTCTATTAGATAACAGCATTGAATGCTAGTAACAACAACCATTCAGCTACTGTTTTGGACTTATTCAAGCTTGCGATCAGGGAGTATGGTACTCCTTCTCTGTGTGCAAGGTGATCGTGGTGGAGAAAACCTCGATGTTGCCACTTACATGATTATGAAAAACGGACCACGCCTGTGCGTCGTTTATGTGGGGATTGTGAGTTTTTTCTTGCTTGAATTGTTTGAGTTGCTGACTCTGTGCCTAAGCTCTACACGAAACTCTCGAATTGAGCGGCTGTGGGTTGAAGTCGGCACTCAATTCACCAGGCGATGGAGGGCCTTCTTTACTCGACTCGAAAATTGGCATATGCTTGACCCTCAGAATGCTAATCATCTTTGGTTGCTTCACACACTTTTCCTTGATGATGTCAATCAGGATTGCTCCGACTTTCAGGCAGAGTGGAATTGCCATCCAATATGGGGTCCTGACATGAACGACAAGAGTCCGAAGGTAAGCTCATGAGTTGCATTTCAACTTGCCTAAAGACCTTAATTTATTCAGGACCTATGGTTCCTGGGACAAACACTATTCGGCATGTATCGTGATGATTGCGAGGGTGTTCACCCTGATGTAATTGAGGAGTACTATGCGTTCATGGTTGCCCTGCATCCCGACAGCCACACCAGACTGGAGCGGGACATCCTGCTGACGAAGACAAAGATGTAGATGAACAGTCGCCTGACATTATCGAGTCAATCAATGATCAGCAACGGCAGCATGTCCATCATGAAGCCATTGGAGTTCCTTCACATAGGAACACTTTTGGTGCTGACGAAGAGATGCAAGGGCAATTTTTTGCTGTTCTTGCCAAAGTTGTCGCAAAGCAAATCACACCAGCACACTGCCGACTGACACCAGATGAATGGGAAGGTGACAAGTATCCTATTTTTGAGACTATACGTGCTGGTCAACAAGGTTCAAAAGAGCTTCAAGTCTCCCTTGCAGAACCAATTTGGTTTCATAGAGCGACATTATGGTGTCAAGCCTTACTAGTTTTGACTACGTTTTTAGCCGATAGGGAGTAATTGGAACATGTACTAGTTAAATAATTTTGCATTGTAAATTAATTCTGTGTCTTGAAGTCGTTCCTATACCTCAAGCTTCCCTGATGCGACTTGCTTGACCTGTCCCACAAGCAACAGTATCACATGGACCGTGAAAACTTCTGCAGAGCAGCTGATCCTGAAGGTCAACTTTGTGACTGTGAAGATTTTTATCCTCAACATGGGGATGAAGGACACTGTGCCAAATGTGGGCATGGACGCAGTAAACATCCTTGGACTCAGAAGACAGCAGACATTGGACATTCCAAAATACCCCAGGATGAAGAGGCTTGCCCAAGTTCCTCCAGTACTGCTGCAGTGAAAGAGATCTTTAACCATGTAACTGCAAAGCGGGGAGGCTCAATTCTCTCAACTAAAGCTGCCAGAGATGAGGCTTTGTCAACACTTGCTTCTACCTGTCTCGCAAATTACAGCAAACTGTCAAAGGGCCCAGGACTGTCAGCTGGCTCGCAAAAGGTAATGCACCACCAATATACTAACAAATTTACCTGCGCATTCACATTTTCTCTAGACTCGGAGGGATACTACCGCTAGTTCACAACCTTCTGGGAGCCAGGCAAGACGGAGTACTACTACCACCTCTAGAGTATCCAATTTCTGTGTTGCATCAGTTGGCATGCTCATTTGCGGAGTTGATGTTAGTCACTGAACCTTCACCTATGCTCGAAAGGGTCCACATCACTAACATATCTTCAGAGACATGGCGCTATTAGAGTGTCGAAAGCCCCATCAAAAAATGGTATGAATGAGGATCCAGGCCATGAAGAATCGCAGATGTTATGTGGATGAACAAGTGACATTCTATCATGACTGGTCATATGCCTGGGTCAGTCAATTACTACGCAAGTTATTTCCAAAGGTCTTCCATTACCTTGATACTGAGAGACCCAGGAATGTGTCATCATTGTCACAGTCGGCAGCAGGCCAGGAAGAGAAGCCGCCTTGGAGGCTCTTGAACAAAAGTGGTCAAGTACTGACTGTCGTTGACATTGCATGTCCTGACTGGAACAGACTTAGCCAAGCACAAGGGCAGGGACAAAGCAAGTGTGACAGAATCTCACCTTTGGTTTGGTGCGGTTGCCACTATATACACCTGAGCGCTGTGCTAATAACTTGTGTTAGTCACCAGGAACCTGTATTCCACAGCGCATGTACGAATCCTGGAACACCCAGCCTGTTATAGCCAGTTTCGGATTCTGAAGCCGATGACGATGGTTCAGAAATGGAGCTTCTGTCTGATGCAGACAGTATCGGAGATGACGCCAACCATAACCCTGAACTTGCTAGCTCCTTGATGGAGATGGAGTTGAGCGACTCTGGAGACTTTCACACTGACTACAAAGGCAAAGGAAAGCTGAAGATCTTGAAGACACCAATGGTCAATGGTACGTCTGTGTTCTATTCCACTTTCGGACTCAGGACAACAGAATTAACAATTGCGTATCTAGCCAAATGTACTCACACAGCACTCTCCCCTGATGAATCGCCGATAAATCCAAGAGTAGCATTGAAAAAGCTCAAGAGCGGTGTGTCCCTGTTGCCTTGGTAACATAAATTTGGACTCACAATTTTTATTCATTAGAAACAGCTGCCATCCCACTTTTCCTGCCTTCACAGTCCTCTCCTTCGCTCACTGACAGTCGGCTGAGCATTCCGAGTGTACCAGCTACATATGCAACATGCCCTGAATTATCCCATCCAGCTACAATTGTCCCCATGAGTGAAGATGATATTTTGTGGCGCAACCAGCCTCAACCCGACGACCCTTTTGCACCGGTTATAGTCAATCCCTGGGAGTCCGAATATGTTATCAGGCCAGTTGATTATCTTTTTTGATACTTTCACATTTCAGTTTCTTGTCTACGTGTTTAATCACTCTTTTTCTGTTTGTCTTGCACTATACTTCACTACAGCAGCATGATACTTATGATACGAGTCTTTGAGCCATATAACTCAGGCATTGACGACTAATGATTTTGATTGTCATTACATCTACATACGACAAGGACAATAGTACCCTGCTTTGCTTTACTGTTGACCGATTTCGGACGTGCCAGCAGGACATGTGATGGCACAGCGTCTCACGTGATTTTGTGGCCCGTTTGGACCCTCAAAACTACTAGCAAAAAAATTACTTATAAAAAACTTAAAAGCAAAGCGCGCAGACTTCGCAAAGGACAACAAGCAGATATCAAGCAACGCGCAGACTTCGCAAAGGGCAGCGCGCAGGTTGCGGTAATAACGGGTCACTTGAAACGCGCACCGCGCAGACTGCGCAACGCGCAATAATAAATGTGCAAGTATAACATCATATATCTCCGGGTCATCAGGATTTGATTACTCAATTAGGACATGGAATACTAAAACTTGGGAACATGTCGCAGTGCTGAATGGGCATACCTCCACAGTCCGCGCCATTGCGATATCTCCGAATGGCCGCATCCTCGCAAGCGCATCGGCAGATGAGACAGCACAATTATGGAACCTCGAGACCGGCCAACCCATCAGTTCACCCCTCCACCATGTGAGCCTGGTGTTTTCTGTGTCATTTTCGGCAGATGGAAAGCTGCTAGTCACTGGCTGCTATGACAAAAACGCATACATATGGGATGTTTCAGCAATATTAAAAGAAGCTGGCCTCGAAGACCTACTGTCGGACCAGCGAGACAAGTCAGTACTCGCTGTACGTGACACTCTACAGATTTCCTTGTTGCATTAAAACATTTACATTCTGGACGATTAATGTAACGCGAAGTCCTATCCAACCAATCAAGGTTTCCAACCAGGTACCTCGAGGTTTTTTTGATGACTCACCACATCCTCACGTATGTCGCACATGTCTCATCTAGTACTGTTTATATTGACCTTGATGTTCTCAGCGATCTGCACGACCTGATCCCCATGATATGCCATCCCAATCCCTGTTTCAATGGGCTCGAGATATCTTCTCTGGTAGACCAAGTAGTGCACAGATCGAGCTGCATGAGCGTCGCCCAGCAGTCGTCGACGTCGCATATGCTAAGGGCAAACGCGTATGTCATTTTCTTTCCTCTCGGATATTCGAACCCTATCTCATATCACACAGAGGAACGCGTGTGCAAGAGAGAAACGGAGACCAGCTTTGAAAATTGCCACTGCAAGCAGTTCGCGTCCTCCCAATACCAATGCCACACAACAATCTAGCGGCGCAGCTCAGGCTCAGTCATCTTCGCAACCACAGGCGACTGCTTCCACCTCCACCGCACCTCCCGTCGTCACTAATACAACTTCCAGCACTAATCCTCATGTAATGATCAGACACGCTGGACGCTGGACTCGGTTTTGGCTCTTTATCTGTTGTGCTTATTCTGAGTATACCGACGGTCAACATTAGTTTACCTGGCTTGTTTTCTCGTTCATTACGAAGATATCTGTTTTCATCTGATATGCTACGACGTTCATCTCATCCCTGCAGGATACATAATAGAGCTGTAAAGTTGTTTCCTATTTACCCTTATACCAACCATTTTCAACCGATGTTTCATTAACCCACACAATTAGCATCCACTCCCAGATCTAAACTATGCAGAAGGATCTTCGGACGAGTCCTTTGAATAGCACTGCGAGATCATCTAACGGCTGCAACTCATACTTAGTGACAGTAAGATGCAGAGTAAGCACTTTGGGGGAAAAGCCGAACGAAAACGCTTCGACACAGTACAGGGCTCGCTGTCAGCGATAATCGTAACGGAGTGGCATTCTCAATATCGATGATGTCACACTCGGAGGCCGTGACATTTTAGACAGAAAATAAAATAGGAGGGTACCTCTTAATGTCAAAGTCTACTGAGTCAACAGAGACACTTGCCTACAAGCCACTAATGCTCTTAATACGTCTCAAAAGGGCGACCATCTCCTAGCCTTGGTACATGTGGATGAACTCGACTAAATCTTTGACTTGCGGAATTCCGCCCGATTCACTGTTGAACGGAGCGGAATCCAGAGATCCGAGCCATCCTCAGGGCAGCCCGGGCCTAAATGTGCTTGGAATTTGGAAAGCCCGAGCCGGCAGCTCAAGCCTTTGCTTTTCCTAGCAATAAGTGCAGCGAGGCGAAGTATACGCGACGTGATCAACTAATCCGAATGTTGTCCACTCGGTGTTGCAAGAAACGATAGAAGACAATACCAATGCTGAATGGAGTCTGAATCATACATCTGCTCAACAAGCGACCTGCGAGAATAGTTCTATGCAACGACGAGTCGACGCCACGACGAAATAAACGCGCACCTCAGTTTAGAAGCGCAAGTGGAATTCAGGCAGGAGTGGGTGTTGTTCACGAGTGGCGTCTAATAAGACTCATTTATCCGAACGAGGGATGAACATCCTGGATAAGCATCATAACCGTTCACACTGGCACTGTTAGACATACCTCTCGACCTCAATCGTTATACCCCTCGGGCACTTTGATGGTATCAAACCCATTTGACTTTCCCTCCGCAGCATAACCTTCCAGCAATTGCTCCCAGCAGGACAGTCAGGAACTTGAAGTCGTCTGGTGGCCATGGTGCATACTGGGGCCAGAAAGAGGTCATATCACCAAATCTGGTTGTGTTGGGGGAGGCTGTTTCGAGGACTTCGTGGGCATATCTGACAACATACAACATACCTAGGGCTCAGAGTTTGAGAACTCTTTCTCCTTGATCATTAGTGGTGGGGGAGGCAACAAGGTGGCGCAGGAACACTCCCACCTGGAGAAGGGTGAAGGTACGAGATGGCGGTTGATACTAATAACAGCGAGAACCAACATCATCCTGGATCGTTGACGAGCCCAGCTTCTTCTTAGCTTCATCTGTGTTGCTCAAAATATCCGATGAAATCTTTGCACAGTGTTGTACTGTAGGGGGCCTCAAGCCCGAAATGGACAGGAGATACATACCATGCTACGGCAATAGTGTAAGGCTTGGTTTGAGTTCGGCAAGGAATTGCGAACAGATCGACGTAATTGTGAGACGTGTTAGTAGATAACACGAAGATAGGTATAAGATGCTTGGAGGCAAGGGCTTTCTGTGAGGCGTTCGGTCGTACTTGGAGCGGGGATCTGAATATATGATTCGCTATAGATATGAGTGTACATGGACGGTATAAATACGTTTTCGAATACTTGACTAGGCCAGAACGAGAATGAGGAGCATATGATGAAGAATATATATGAACGGTCGGAGCAAGAGTGAGCACAAGGTAAGGTAGTGAAAGAGAATGGAAAGAGTTGTATCCGCGTGACTTTGGATGCAAAGTGACGCTGTTCGCATCACTAGGTCACGTGGGTGATTTCGAACGCATGGTCCGATCGAGCGTCTCGGTTTTGAAGCGTGGTCGGTGCGTAAAGGATGTAACGTCCTTACAATAGCCTACATGAAGGTGATCCTGCAATACCTGATCTGAGCGTTGCTAATAAATTGTTCATAGCCCAGATGATCAAAGAAATCGTCACCCTCACACTCGAAAACCTCGAATATCCTTGCAGGATTCTTGTATCTGTGGACTCAGCTCTGTGTGAGTGTCAATGGATGTTTACAATGATACGGGTTCATCGCCTGGATTAGGTGGTTGGACGGCGAGCATTTGCAAGATACAGTAAAATGTCTTGTGCACCCGCCGTTGGTTACAGGGCGACAAGATAGTAAGGCAAGATTGAGTATATAATGTGATTATTGGTGTTGACAACAAGCACGGATAGCGGAGTGAAGTTGTGATGGACAAAGTCGTGTGGAGGGTGCGCTCAGTCTGAATGAAGATTGGAACAGATGGAACGCAATCAGACATGAGGCTTGGGCGCTTCAGTTGCACAGCATATATGCTATAAGCTGCGAAATGAACACGAGGATAATGCATGGAAAACGCACCGGCTCAAACTTCCAGTACGCTCGTGACCCAAACGCTCATTGAGTCTCGGTGTCAGAACATCGACACCCACCAAGGAACATATCGTCGTAAGTGATGCTTTTGAACTTTCTTGGATGAAAGCTGGGACGCAGTTGCGGCTAGTGGTTGATTATGTCTTTACCTATCGTTAGAAAGCAGGCATCAGCAATAACGCCCCGCCAGAAATTTGAGGGACACACTGGTTGGGTCTCAGGCGCCATACATCTGCCAGGCGGAGAGCGGATAATGACTTGTTCGTTAGACGGCTCGCTGCGGGTATGGGACTTGAAGAGTGGGAAACAGATTGGAGACGACTGGCAGGACGGAAAAAGTGAAGTGTGGACAATAGCGTTGTCTCCGGACGGGAAGAAGGTGATTAGCGGGAGTAGGGATGGTGGAGTGAGGTTGTGGGACATTGACACAGGGAAAATCATCGCGAAATGGATGGGACATACAGGCGGGGTACGCTCTTTCTGCTGGAGTGAAGACGGTCGGCGAGTGTTGAGCGGATCTTTCGATGGGACTGCAAGGGAGTGGGATGTAGAGAACGGAGAGACAACACTCGGTCCAATCGAGATAGGGCACCGAAGCGTGTGGGCAGCCGTGTACTCGCCAGACATGTCCATGGTTGCAACTACTGGAAGCGACTGGACTTCGAACAATTCCGAGGTCCCGATCAAAATCTGGGATGTGAAGACTGGCAAGCTTGTCGCCACTGCTCTCAACAGACACACAATGTCCTGCCTGGCTTGGACCGCGGATGGAAAAGCGCTTATCTCCGGGTCATTGGGATCTGATAACTCAATTAGGACATGGAATACTAAAACTTGGAAACACGTTGCAGTGCTGAAAGGGCACACCGACGCAGTCTACGCCATTGCGATATCTCCGAATGGCCGTATCCTCGTAAGCGCGTCGTTTGACAAGACAGCGCGATTATGGAACCTCGAGAACGGCCAACACATCGGTTCGCCCCTCCACCATGCAGACACGGTGTTTTCTGTGTCATTTTCGGCAGATGGAAAGCTACTAGCCACTGGCTGCTATGACGAAAACGCATACATGTGGGATGTTTCAGCGATATTAAAAGAAGCTGACCTCGAAGACCTACTGTTGGACCAGCGTGACAAGTCGGTACTCACTGTACGTGACGCTTTCATCGCAGATTTCCTCGCTGCAATTAAACATATACATTCTAGACGATTAATACAACACGACGTCCGGTCCAGCCAATCAAGGTTTACAACCGTGTACCCCAGGGGTTTTTCGACGACTCACCACATCCTCACGTATGTCGCCCATGTCTCATCTAGTACTATTTATATTGACCTTGATGTTCTCAGCGATCTGCACGATCCGATCCCCACGATGCGAAATTCCAATCCCTGTTTCAATGGGCTCGAGATATCTTCTCTAGCAGACCTAGTAGTGCACAGATCGAGCTGCATGAGTGTTGCCCAGCAGTCGTTGACGTCCCGTATGCTAAGGGCAAACGCGTATGTCATTTTATTTTCTCTCGGATATTCAAACCGCATCTCATATCACACAGAGGAACGCGTGTGCAAGAGAGAAACGGAGACCAGCTTTGAAAATTGCCACTGCAAGTAGTTCACGCCCTCCCAATACCAATGCCACACAGCAATCTAGCGGTGCAGCTCAGGCTCAGTCATCTTCGCAACCACAGGCGGCTACTTCCATCTCCACCGCACCTCCCGTCGTTGCCAATGCAACTTCCGGCACTAATCCGCATATAATACTGAGACACGCTGGGCGCTGGACTCGGTTTTGGCTCTTTATCTGTTGTGCTTATTCTGAGTATACCGACGGTCAACATTAGTTTACCTGGCTTGTTTTCTCGTTCGTTATGAAGATCTCTGTTTTCATCTGACATGCTATGATGTTCATCTCATCCCTGCAGCATACATCAAGTTGCTTCGCATCTACCCTCGCACCAAACCATTTGAACTGGTATTTTTGTTGTTCCGACAAATAGCATTCACTCTCAGATCTAAACTATGCAAAGGGATCTTTGTATGAGTCCTTCGAATAGAACTGCGAGGTAATTACATATCTAAAGTGCATCTTGAAAATTTGCCAACTATAGGTACAGGAAGCAAGGCTCGTCGACTGCGTCATATAGTCGGTAGCAGTAAGATACAGAATGAGCACATGAGGGAGAAAGCCAAAAGAAAACGCTTCGATACAGTACGTGATTCGCTGTCAACGACAATTGCAACGACGCTACAGAGTGGCATTCTCGATGTCGATGATGTCACACCAAGAGACCATGCTGTTTAAGACAAAAAAATCAGGAGTGTACCTCTTAGTGTTATAGTCTACAAGTCAAGAGTTCGAACATGATGAGTGGATCTAATGAGTGAACAAAAACACTTGCCTACAAGCCGCCAATGTTTCTCAATATGTCTCAAAAGGGCGACCTTCTCGCAGCCTTAGTACATGCGGGCGAACTCCACAAAATATTCGACTCGCGGAATTTCTCCCCGTTCACCATAGAACGGGGCAGAATCCCGAGATCCCAAATATACTTCGAGTGGGGCCAGCCCGGCCCTAAATAGGCTTGAATCCCAACTTAGCCAGCAGCTCAAGCCTTGACTTCCCCCAGTAATAGGCGCAGCGAGTTGAAGTGCATTTGCTCGACTGATATTGTCATCCGGTCGATGTTCGTGATTCCAAGCTAAGTGCTCAGTTGATATCGACGGTCTGATTGTGAGTAGTATCACACCTCTAATTCTGCCGAGATCATACGCCACCGCCCATCTACCAGCACCCCGTGACACTTGGCACCGATTACCGTTATCCATATAGCGTTCGTCAGCACCCACAACGTCACTTTCGCATACTTCGAACACAAAAGCTGCTGCTTGGCCTCGCGGCCTAGATTTGAAATATAGTGAGTGATTGCAAACCTGAAAATTAAGTGCACCCGACAATGTCACAGAGCGTGAGCTGGCATCTAGTTATCCAGTCATGCGAGTGCATGAACATTGGCTGCCCCTACACTACCTGTATATAAAAGCCAACATAATTTTGACTCAGGGTATCGTCAGATTTCAACGATGAAATTCATCTCACTCACTACCATGATCATATCTGTCACAGCGATGACTGGCGTAGCTATCGCATCTGACAGCTTGATAATAACACCAAAGGACCTACCCTGCGACGGCCCTGGTAAGCACTTTTGCGATCTACGTGCAGACTTTGGACCACGTGCTCACGGCTGATGCAGCCGGGTGCTCGACGGATACAGTGCAACGTTCAACCGATGAATTCGCGTATATGTGCGGACCTGATGCCTCATTGATTAACTAGTGCGAGGTGCATCAGTGGACTGGCAGGAAGATGAGATGAAGATATCCCCGACACCCACTTTTGTGGGGAGTGGGTTCTGTTCTGTAATCAAGAAGGAACGACTCACTGTCTTCCTTCTATATGGTCGGACTAGGGGAGACCAGGGTTCTACAGAATTTAAATATCAGGCCGTCTGTAATTTTTTTGTGGCAATTAGTTCCCTTACAGCTGTGTGCAAAACCAATGGCAGAGAATATATTATTCGTAGCCCAGATGATCAGAGAAATCGTGACTCTCGTACTCAAAAACCTCCTTGAACATCCTTTCTTGCAAGATTATTGTCTGTCATTGGACTCGGCTTTAGGTGAGTGTCAGTGAAAGTTTACAATGGCACGGTTTCATCGTCCGGATTATGTGGTTGCACGATGAAAATTTTCAAGATACAGTAAAATGTTTTACGCACTCGGCAGATATCAAGCATTAGCGAGATGAGGGGCGCCTTCAAGGAGCAGTTGACTTGGGAGAGATCGACACTCTGCTGGTTACAGGATAGAGGAGTGAAGTTGTGGTGGGCAAAGTCGTGTGGAGCGTGTGCGGTCAGTCCGAATGAAGATCGAAAGAGATTAAATGCGACTCGTGACCACAAACGAGGCTTGGGCGCTTCAGCTGCACGGCCGAATATGCTGTAAGCTACGATGTGGACGCGAGGATGATGGAAAACGTACAGGCTCAAACTTCCAGTGCACTTTTGACCTAAACGCTCATTGAGTCTTGGTGTCAAGACACTGGCACCCGCCAAGGAGCATATCGTCGTAGGTGATGCTTTTGAAGTTTGTTGGATGAAAGCTGAGACGCAACTGCGCGCGGGGGTTGATTATGTCTTCACCCGTCATTTTGGCGGGTGAGACATCAAGGATAATGTCCCGCCAGAAATTTGAAGGACACACGGAATAAATCAGTGGCGCTATACATCTGCCAGACGGAAAGTGGATGATGACTTGTTTGTGGGACGGCTCGCTGCGGGTATGAAGAGTGGGAAACAGATTGGAGACGACTGGCGGGACGGAGAAAGTCCAGTGCGTACAATAGCGTTGTTTCCGGACGGGAAGGTGGTTGACGGGAGTATGGTTGGTGGAGTGAGGTTGTGGGACATTGACACAGGGAAAACCATCGCAAAATGGATGGAACATACAAACGGGGTGGGGTCCGTCTGCTGGAGTGAAGATGGTCGACGAGTGTTGAGCAGATCGCACGATGAGACCGCAAGGTCTGAGGATAGTATATCCTTTACGCCCCGACCAAATAAACACGCTCGAACTGGTCTATGCCGCGTTTGGCGCGGCCCACGTGACTCATTGAATGCATCCGTATGTCATTTTCTCCCCTCTCGAGTATTTAAAAACACAATCTCATACCACACCGGGGAACGCGTCGGCAAGAGAGAAACGGAAGCCAACTTTAAAAATCGCCACTGCAAGCAATTCACTAGCAATGTCACACAACAATCCAGCGGTGCAGCTCAGGCCCACTCATCCTTGTACTTGAACCACAAGCGGCTGCTTTAGTGTTCCGTGGATAACCCTCTGAGGGGTTATCCACTGTGGATATCCACCAGGCCTAAATGAGGGTCAGTTATCCACGGGTGAGTATGGTGGATATCCACTGCCGGTAAAACCGGCCCGGCGATTCCGGGTGCTGCAAAATTTTGTGATCCATGGTGCATTTTGCAAAATTTAGCTTGATTTACAAGTCTAGATCTATCCTACACTCTATGTCATGTCCCAGTCTGCTTCGGTCAAGGCCTTCTCTTGCACCAAAGTGCTTGCCAGCAGAAGAGTGACAGTGTTCTTCGGTGCTGCGGGTGCCAAATCTTTGTCAGCAAGCACATCAGCTAGCGTCGTGGAGTCAAGATTGATGATACTGGCAGCATCAAAAGCCTCGCCGTCAAAAGAATCCGCTTTTTTTGAGCCATCTTCAGATATATCCTCGGGGTCAGTGACATCCAACTCTGAGTCGCTGTAGTCCAATCAGCATCCGGGCCGAAGTTGGAGAATTGTACTTGGACTCCTTTGGAATGGAATCTCTGTTGGCAGTGCCTCGAGACAGAGTTGAAGCTCAACTAATCGATCCTTGAGATGCGGCTGCATGTGATGAGGGAGAAAACTTGAAGTTCACAATTTTTCAGTCATTTTTCGAGTCGATGTTCGACCAGTTACCAACAAACATTGACTTGACGTCGCATGAAGTTCCGCCAAAATAAACAAGCTTAAATCCTAGTTCGAGCTCACTTCAAGCAGAAACAAGCTTGTAGACCTGGTATTTAAGCTTTTTAAGTGTATTTAATGCATATTTAATACAACCCCATACACCCACATGATTTTCAGTTATCCACGTTATCCACCTATGAATTTTGGCCTTGGGTTATCCACCGAGTTATCTACGTGGATAACCAGGTGGATTTCCACGGAACACTAGGCTGCTTCCACCTCCACTACACCTCCCGTCGTTGCAAATACAACTTCCAGCACTATTTCTCAGACATGCTGGATGCTGGGCTCGCTTTTGGCTCTTTATCTGTTGTGCTTCTTCTGGGTATACTGATAATCATTATTAGTTTACCCAACTTATTTTCTCGTTCTTTACGAAGATATCTGTTTTCATCTGGTGCGATACAACGTTCATCTCATCCCGGCAGGATACTTAATGGAGCTATAAAAATGTTTCCTATTTGCCCACATATCACACCATTTTCAACTGATGTTGCGTTGTCCCGCACAAATAGCATCCACACAGATCTTAAATATGCAGAGGGATCTTCGGATGAGTCCTTTGAATAATAATGTGAGGTAATTACATGTCCAAATTGCATCTGGAATGTTGCTAACTAAAAGTACAGGATGCAAGGCTCGTCCACCATCTAACGGTTGCATTTTATACTTAGTAGCAGTAAAATACAGTGAACACATGGGGGAGCAAGCTAAACGAAAACGCTTCGACGGAGTACAGGACCTCTTGCATCATTTTCCACTGACATCATTACGCGCGCTTCGTGGCGCAGAGTCTCTTGCAAGAGCCTGTTCCACTATTGTAAAACAACGCATTGTTTGTCTCAAGTTTCAAGGCAAGGAATTCATGGCATCCTCCATCTCTGCCTCTTCGCCGCCCATGTCTCTCCCCTCGTCTCCGATTGCAGAAGACTAGAAAACAGACGTGCAAATTGAAGCGACAGATATCACATCTCTGCCGGACAAAACCACGACCCCAAAAGAACTTTCAGACGAGGGAAATCACCATTAGAACTCCCCGTCCTCCGATTATAATCCAGAAGACATCTGCTGCGGGGAAGGCGAATGGCTCGTCCTCGATTCGCTCGACGACCCATCTAATTCACATCATCCATCTGTCTAACTGTTCACTCGCACAGCATCCTCCGCATCATTCATCCAATCTAGTACCCGATCCTGTCTTCTTAGCTAGACTCAAAACCTCCGGCGCCCCTCGCAAATAAGACGAATTGAGCATCACAGCACAAGTGTGTTACCCAGCTGGCCAGTGCTTAGTCGATGTCCCGTGTATCAAGGCTTGCCTTGTTTTCTTGGTTATCCGTCTCGAAATTCTAAAGTAATACGAGAAAATATCTAAATACTATTGCAAGTTCATATTGAACGCGTGCAAGAATATCATGTCCGGATGGTAACCTGGCTCCCAAACTTAATCCTCGCTGAGTGCCGATGGTACCACGTCTGTAACTGCTATGAAATGTGCATTTTAGGGAAGAAACGTCAGATACTTATGATGGCCTGCAGTGGTTTAGGGCCAATTTGGGTTTTGCCAATCACTAGCGTTCCTCGTGTCATCTATCGGCGTCACGATAGGCCGTATACAAAAACAGGTTGGGATTGCACATTACCAGCGTTTCCCAGTGTTCTTCTGCAAGGGGAATGTCGGGGACACTCGGAGCAAGTTAAGTCAGAAGTCTGCTGGCAGTGCAAATGTCATCTGTTTGAGAGGGTATTTTAGGTCGACATGTTGGCTCTGCACAGAACACTATTCAGCACATAACAGAAAGCTGTCCACCCACCGTCCCCCTCATCGTGACTTTTGGGATCCACATCACATTTCACAAATAATGCGCTTCTCCTTCATCCTCGCAGTTGTTGCTGCTTTCAACTTTACAGTGTCTATGCCTGTCGATGATGAACCACACCGTCACAGCTACAAATACATACCTGACTCGGACTGATGCCAGGAGGCGTGAAATGCCAAGCAGCAGAATATGACCACCCACGTGAGCAGGAGTAGTCTTCATCCAATCCCATGACTCACCTGCGTGGTAGACTACAATTACATGCAACCTGTCCCATCTCCACATGCCAACGTTGAACATCCACCAATAAATATTAAATTCATCTCATTTTCGTTGAAGGGCGCATCTAGACGGCCGCCGGCGGAAACGGCGGACGGCACGCCTCTCATCAGGGCATTCGCGCACCTGTGCCTCCCACGTATTGTCCCCAACTAGATGTGATTATAAATAGGGCTAGCATGTCTAAAATGGCAGACTTACAGCGCTTCCAAGCCTCCTTGAATATCTCTTGGATAAAGAGTGAACTTGTTGCAAACACCGGCAAACCCCGCGCCTCTGGGACCCGGCCAAACTCTGGGCGCCTAGCTACGACATTCCTGACAATGACATCAATGTTACCTCGTCCCATTCGTCGCCCTCGCCATTAATATTGTAAACAACCACCTCAACATCACCTATTGAATCGCTTGTAGTGTTATTCCCTGCTCGACCCGATCTGACTCGTCAAAATCAAAAGCGTTTCTCTTGAGCACTTCAACTTCCTTCAAGTTAATGCTCTGAACTTCTTCAGTCCCTTTCAACTCGAATTCGAGAGCTGCAAATTCAGCAATGATGTCGTCAGGCGAGATACTCTCTGGATCAGCAAGAAGGTCATCTGCATCGCAAGGCTCGGTCGAGAGTAGAAGTGCCCACGCGAAAACCTGCCATTGCTACTTGGCTACCTGCGTAACAGCAAATTTCCGACATAGGAGCAGCTGCATTTTTACAGTACTTGATAAGATGCTTCGGTAGGTTGTTGTCACCACTCTGATTTTGAGTACCTGATCAAAATTACCGTTGATCAATGAAATCGACATCTTTCCTTCGTACTCGAATCAGCAAGCCTACTGGTACGATGGTGGGTTACATTTATTCCGACTTTCTCCGAAACCTTAGTCACTGGATCAGCTCAAGCCGGGCCTAAAGCTTGGATTTTGCAAAGCCTAAGCCGGCGGCTCAAGCTGTGGCTTCTCCAAGTAGTAAGCGAGTCAAAGTGTATTTGCTTGGCTGATATTGTCATCTGTTTGACGTTAGTACCACTCCTCTCTAATTCTGCTGAGTCCCTATGCCACTGACTACCTGCCAGCACACGCATAGCGTTCGCCAGCACCCGCAACATCACTTCGCAGCATCCAACACCCCAAAGCTGCTGCTTGCGGGCCGCTTGGACTCACAGCCTAGATTTGAAATCTAGTGGGTGACTGAAAATCTGAAAATTGGGTGAGTAAATCATCATCGTAGACCGAATTCGCTAAGTGCATCCAGCACATTATTTGAGGCCTTCATGACGTGCCTTCAAGAGGATGGTGTCACAGAGTGTGACCTGGCATCTGTTTATCCAGCGATTCAGGCACATGCAGATTGGCTGCCCTCATACTCCCTGCGTATAAAACTAACGTAGTTTTCAACTTAGAGGGCTCCATTAGTTTCAGCGATGATATTCACCTCACTCACCACCATGGTCATATCTTTCGCAGCGATGGCTGGCGTAGCTATCGCATCTGACAACCTGGTACTAACACCAATAGGTCTACCCTGCGACACCCCTAGTAAGCACTTTTGCGGGCTATATGCAGACCTTAGACTGCGTACTTACGGCTAGTATCCGCAGATCAAGTGGGGTGCTCGATGGGCATCAAATTTTTCAATAACGACGACGATTTCGCGTATTTGTGCGGACCTAAAAACACAATTGTTGACTACCAGGCATGTTCGTGTAAAAAATGCTGTTACGTGGATTCCATGGGGAGCGCCCAGTGTTGAGCCTGAGTGAGCTTATCTTTTCCCGCTGCCTTTAAAGTCCCGAGTGTTGATTTTTTTTGTCAGTGTTTATTGTCCGCTGGGCCGAGTGTTGATGTGAAATAAGAGAGGCCCATCGAACTCGCCAGCAATATTTGCCAACCCGTTCTAATTTAAATATCCTAGGCTAGTGTTCCCGCATACCCGAATGTCGATCATGTATTCCCCGACCAGTGAGACGACAGCACGAGTCATGCCCCATCGGGCGGTGCAAAGCCATACTGACTGTACACATGTCATGCACCTGCGTGGGGAACGAGCGGTCCCGTCCTGTACATGAAATCAACATCTCTCATTCGCACTTGAATCGGCGAACTTTTTTATTTTATTTTGATTCCAATTACTGTCCTTTGTAGACCGGCGAACTTACTACTACGACGGCGGGATATATTAATTCCGGCCTTCTCCCAACCTCAGTAGGCCAGCCCAAGCCGGGCCTAAATAAGCTTGGACTTCGCAAAGCCTAAGCCACGACTTCTTCCATACAGTATAGTAAGCGCAACGAGTCGAAGTGTCTTTGCCTGACTGGTGTTGTCGTCTGTTCTATGTTCGTGATTCCAAGAGTACTAAAGACTCAAATAATATTGACGTCTGATCCCGACTAGCACACCAATTCTGCTGGGATCATGCGCCACTAACCATGCGCCAGCACACACTTGGCCCCAGTCACCCTCATCTACACAGCGTTCGCCAGCACCCGCAACGTCACCTTTGCATACTTTGCACCCGAAAACTACGGCTTTGGCCGACCTGGGCTCACGGCCTAGGCATGAAATCTAGTGAGTGACTGCAAATATGAATATTGGGTGCATCCGGCAATGTCACAGAGTGTGAGCTGGCGTCTGTCTATCCAGTGATGCAGGTACGTGCAGATAGGCTGTCCTCGTACTCCCTGCGCATAAAAGCCCACGTAGTCCCTGACTCAGAAGGCATCGTCAGATTTCAGTAATGAAATTCACTTCACTCACTACCATGATCATATCTTTCGCAGTGATGGCTGGCGTGGCTATCGCATCTGACAACCTGGTAATAACACCAATGGGTCTACCCTGTGACACTCCTAGTAAGTACTTTTGCGGTCTACGTGCAGACCTTGGACTGTGTGCTTATAGCTAGTATTCGCAGATGAAACGGGGTGCTCAACGGGCATCAAAGGTTGGAACAACGACGACGATTTCCTGTATTTGTGCGGACCCAACTACACAATTGTTGACTACGACCCATGTTCGTGTCAAAATTGCTGTGGGACCGCCGGGTGTTGAGCCTGAGTGAGCCTGTTGTTCCCCGCTGCCTTTGGAGTCCGAGTGTTGATGTACTTGCTTAGTATGATATGTGCAAGACTCTGGGCGTGAAGGAGTGGTGTGATGTAGTAGTCCATCGAAGGCAAGCAGGATGTTGTCGAGCTTTCGATCACAGTAGATGATACCATTCGTGTGGAAATATTCCAAAGCATAAAGACCGATTTTGCGCTTACGACTGCGCCCGAGGTGTACGTTGGAACTCAGGAAGAGGTTACACCGCCAAACCCGGCTGTGTCAGGGGGGACCCATCTCCAAGACTTTGTGAGCATATCTACTAACATGATGCACAAAAGCATACCTGAGACTCGGAGGTCGAGTACTCTTCATACCCCTGGTGCCGGTGGTAAGGGACGCAACAATGGTTCATTGGGATAAGCAGAGAGAGAACCCGAGCACCTGGAGGAGGACAGGTGACTCGGGAGGAACGTGGGACGGCGGTTGATATTGATAATAGCAAGAGTCGACACCCCAAAGCTCCTCACTTTTCCGGAGGCTTAGCCCCTCAGGAGATCACACAGGATACCTACCGTGTTGCAGCATGATGAAGGTAATCCTGCAATACCAATCTGATTGTTTATCTCGTATCAATTGTCAAAGTGGAGATGATCAGTTATGTCTACTCTATATGACAATAATCAGTGCTACTCAAAATCGATGCAGGCGATGAAGCTTGCGGCGTAATGAATGGTGTATCATGAGTCGGCACTAATCTCGTCTTTTAAAGTCGATTGATCGTCGCCGTCAAGTACTGTCGATTCGTCGTCGGTCTGGAATCTTGACTCACTATCACTCTCGTACTCGGAAACCTCCTCGATAACCAGAGCTTCCTTTCTTACAAGATCCTTGTCTATCTGTGGACTCGGTTCTGGGCGAGTGTCGACGAATGCTTGCAATGATATGGCTTCATCCTCTGGATCGGGTGGCTGCAGCGTCGACCCCTCAGCTTCGTAGAAATCGGTGAGGGTGAGTGAACGCATGCTGAAGCCCTGGTATGTCCAGTTGGCCAGGTTCACGAATTATGTCTCAAAAAGCGTACCTCTTTCTCGACCTTCGTCAACGCTTCTTCATCATGTTCCATGGCGCGCATACATTCCCTCACTGGAACCATCGCAGCGTTGCGGCATAATTCACGCAAATCAGAACCAGAGAACCCCGTCGTCTGAGAAGCAAGGATGTGTAAGGAAAGATGGGGATCCAGTTTCGTGTCCTTGAGCATCTAATGAAGTTCAAAGCGAGCAATCTTACATCGGTGATGTAGACACGTACTAGGGACAGAATTTTGAATCTCTGTTCTGCATCTGGAAGAGCCACAGCGAACCGCTTCGGCATGCGACGTAAAATTGCTGGGTCAATATCACCTGGTCTGTTCGTCGCGCCCAGCACTAGTATCCTGTCAGAGCCTGACGTCAAGCCATCCCATGAACTAAGTATCCGAGATCAGTCAAAGATCGACCAGAAAATGCATTACTCACGTCATGAACTCTGCCTTCATCATACCCATGACCTCGTGGTCATCTCCACGTCGTTCCCTTAAGAAGGAGTCGATCTCATCGACAAATATGATCGCAGGTTGGACCTTCCGTGCGAGGCTGAACAGACCTGCGACTAGCTTGTTGGACTCACCGAACCACTTATTTGTGAGTGTTGATGCGGGAACGTTAATGAATGTTGCACCAGATTCTTTGGCCAGCGCACGGGCGAGCATAGTCTTTCCACATCCCGGGGGTCCGTAGAGTAAAACCCCTTTCGGGGCTCCAAGAAGGGGAGAGGCTGAGGTGAAAAGAGCGGGGTGGATTAAAGGATAGATTATGGTTTCACGGAGAGATGATACGATTGGCTCCAGACCCCCGATATCTAAGAAATTTTAGTTGGCATGGGAAATTCATCTGCGATAATGGCGGACTAACCCTGGAATCGAACGGCGATTTCGTCTGGGTGTACAACCTCCTTTGATATCGCTCCTGCAAGAATACCAGAGGTCAGCAGGAAGCGGTGCGTAGCTGAGGAGGTCATGCGCACTCTCATACTCATCCAGCTTGAGGTTCTTTTGTCCGATGAGCTTCTTGATTGCCTCAGCGCTCTTTGTTGTCCGGTTGTCACCCCGCTTGATGTACCACTACAAGGATGTTAACTGTGCTTCCTGGAAATTTCCATGACGGAGACGTACGCGAATAGCACAGTAAACCGCTGCCTAACGCAGATCCTCAGCTCACGGGAGAAAAATGGTTAGCAAAACGGATAATCACCTGCGAAGCTAGGAATAGAGCAACTGCAATCGCATCAGCATAGTAAGCAGCATTTGTGGACGAAAGCAGCGGTAAAACATACCATCCAGGATTATGAAGCGTCTCGTACTCAGGGGAGATGTCATCGAAGAGGAACGGAAGCTTGATTGTGTATTGTGCAGTCAAAAAGCGGGCACTCGTGCCCACAACTTTTCAGGAGAATGTGTGATGACTGGCAGCTGCAGCGTGGTCGGGTAATCACAGATATTCATAGTGTTGTTTGTATGTATTTGGCAAGAGCTTTAGAATTCAATAGGGCCAAACTTCATTTGAGTCGCTTATTGAAAGAAGTTACTACGAGCCCAATGGCTGGCCCTACATATCGTGGCTGGTGGTTAGCGTTAGTTTACGAACTCATCTAAGAGCTACTCAAATCTCGTCTTAAATTCATCGATACCGTACTTGGACCAAAGGAAAATCCAAAAATATGCCAGGACCGTGGATTGAACACGGGACCTCCAGAAAACATCACACTTCAGTCTGTTGCTCTCCCAGCTGAGCTACCCCGGCCACAAAATCAATAAGCCTACTAGGCGACTATATGTCGACGTTACACCCTATCTAGATTCCCTCAGTGCGGTAGCAGGTAGTTGCTACAACTACGTGGACATCCGTTGGCGAAGCCTGCTGAAGGCAGTCAAACATTCTCCGTATCCGATAGTGCCCTACGACAAGCGGAAGAACGGGCATACGCCGGAACTATAATCATGGTTTGACTAGAACATATCTCGTAAGTGGAAATCATGTGGTCCGTCGTGATATCGATAGCTTCTGATACCGGACAGAAACAGAATTGAATACTTCGATCACCGTCACGTTCCTTAGCCACGTCGGCTTTTCGGGTAGATATGACTTGTTGAAGCCACCTTAAATAAGTCACCCTAACCACTGTGGTCTTCCCAGACTCTCTTATCACACACCCCACCATGACAGGCGTCTCTGTGCAATCAGCTCGATGGATGAAATACTTCAGTGATGTCTATGGAAATCCAAAGCCACCTGTTCTGGGCTCTTTCGGAGTGAAAGAGATAGAGGAGAAAGCCCGGGAGGTAATGAAAGACCATCTCCGTGAGTGTTATCATCCGTTCAAGTCGCAACTCCTGATTTGAACGAGGGAGCTAGCGGCATACATGTACACGTTTGGGAGTGCGGGAACGTGTTCGACAGCCGCCGCAAATAGGCATGCGCTCAACCGGTGGAAAATCGTTCCTGCAATGCTCAAGGACTGTACTAACCGAAATGTCGAAGTGAGTATTCATGAGCGCGTGATACCCCTGTCTAATGTATTGCTGCTTAGACAACGATCTTTGGAGAGAAATTCCAAGCGCCTATTTTCGTTGCGCCTGTAGGTGTACAGGGCATCTTGCATGCAGACGGAGAACTCGCAACTGCAAGGGCTGCCGCTGCCTGCGGGATCCCTTACATCATGAGTTCGGCATCATCCCGGTCAATGGAGGATATCGCAAAAGCAAACGGGCCAAATGGTCAACGGTGGTATCAACTCTACTGGTATGTTTAATCTCGTATCACCATTCCACTTATCATAACTTGGCTGCGAACACCTCAGGCCTCGCTCGGACGAGATAACAATATCCCTTCTCAAGCGTGCCAAAGCTGCAGGTTTCTCTGCACTCGTGATCACGCTCGACACCATGCTTTTGGGTTGGCGTCCACACGACCTCGACACTGCCTACATACCCTTCTTGTACGGGGTCGGCATCCAGGTTGGGTTGTCCGACCCCGTGTTCATGAAGCGCTTTGGGTACGAACCTGTGCACGAGACCACCAAGTTCCCTTTCGAGCCAGAGAAGATCAGAGACGCGGCGTTGAACGCAGGTGATGCGAATGCCAAGAAGGCAATGAAACTGGGCAAAGAATGGCTCGGAGAAACCAACTCAGGCTTATTCAGGTCCTGGGAAGATCTACAATTTATCAAGGATCACTGGGACGGACCTATCATTCTGAAGGGAATTCAGCGGGTGTCGGTAAATTCATGTCTTTTAGTTCCGCGATGACTCGTGACAACACTTGCAACAGGATGCGGAGAAAGCTATTAATATGGGCATCCACGGGATCATTGTGTCCAACCACGGTGGACGACAGGTGGACGGTGCCATTGGCTCCTTGGATGCATTAGCCAAGATCATGCGCTCGCCGAAGGTCCTCGATGCGCAGACGAAAGGTAACTTAACGGTCCTCTTCGACTCTGGTATTCGCACAGGCAGTGATGTCATCAAGGCAATGGCAATGGGTGCCCAGGGTGTCCTCAGTACGTGTTATGCTTTCTCTACCGTGGTAGTTTCTCATTCAAGAATTCTAGTCGCTCGTCCATTCATGTACGGTCTTGCCATTGCCGGCCAAGCAGGAGTCGAGCAGATTTTGATGCAAACCGTGGCTGATATGCATCTCACGATGGGTCTCTGCGGGTACAGTGATGTTAATGACATCATTGGGAAGCATATCGAACTTCTCGAACCCGTGGATGATTGAACAGCAGGCTGCATTGCAAATTGGCACATCATTTCATTTCATTTGTCCTGAAAGGCTGTACGATGGACAATGTATTCTGAGAAGTTCCTCAAAACAGAAATGTAGTAAACTCCCCCCGAAAGTTTGTCAAAACGCAAAACTGACCACCTTCTGCCGTGCCTGGATCTTATACACAACAGGTCGTCACCTCTGGTCGTCGCATGCGATTTAGAGTGAAACTGCATTCATTACAAAAGCAAGCGCTTGTACACGACATCGGCACTACAGTCGACCATGCGCAAATGGGTTTGCTCTGACATCCATTGAGAGTGGTTGAATAAGCGAGTCTTAAATGAAACTGCTTGCGATTCACTGTCTAGGCCGAGCGATAATAGGAATTAAATGAAAAAGTCATCCGTGGAATAAAGAGGCTTTCGACGAATCGACGATGGAGATGTGCAGTTAACCTTCAAACCCAATCGATGGAGAGAAACTCTCGGCTCAGTGAGCATGGCTAAATAGTCTGGTGTCTGACCGGGTCGTGGTCTGCGTCTTTTAATATATCTGAACTCAAGTACGGATCTTGCCTGCATTCAGTTGGCAATCTCACCATCATGGCACAGTAATTGTCCAGAATTTTATCATTGAAGATCAGCACTCATGCTTGATGCGTATATTGTCAAGTGGGAGGCTCGAGATGATGAGTAGTGATGATTATTTACCGATAAGTTTGCGGATTCATGAAGAGCGTAAACTATAAGCTATTGTACCCACCCTTTCCAAGCAGCTTCCCAACCCTCCACGAAGCGCTCCTCGGCGAATGCACTTATAGCCCACGTACGTGCACGCACCCTCATCGCTTGCTCCTCCGACTCATCCATGCTCAATACTGTGTGCATGGCGTTCGCGAAGCTCTGCGGATCGAGTGCATGGAATCCCGTTGCTTCACCGTCCAGAGGCACGACAATATCATGAAGTGGACCACCGGAAGCGTGCGTCACAGGAATCACACCTGCAGCCTAGTTTTGTCAGAGGTAAGTTGGTACAGAACAAAATAAGGTGAAACAAGGAATCTGCACCATGAATTCAACAACGTTTATTCCAAAATGTTCGTCCACCATTGTGCTCAGCCCGATGCTAGCCATTGCGAGCCAGCCGAGCATCTCGGGGTAGCTTGCGTTGACGATGAACTGGACGTGAGGGGTAATCTTGAGTTCTTCTGCGAGATCTCTAAGGGACTGCACACGCGCGTGGTCGTCCGCGTTACGTGCACCACCCAGTAGGAAAAGTTTCACAGAAGAGGAACCAGAAGTATATGTTGGGTGGTCGGCCAACAGCTGCGCAAAGGCGCGAAGTTGAGCAGGGTGATCTTTCTCTGGCCTTTATAAGCAATACTTGAGCTCCAGCAACGAATGAAAAGTGGAATGGAAATTACCTGAATTGTGCGATACTCAGTATAATTCTTTCCCTCTTGGCCAATGGGAATTGTGACATCTCGCGGGTATCGCATGGTGGGTAGACAATTTTGGCTTCTCGTTTCTTGCTTGCTGACTCGGTATGGTGTTTTTTTGACCTCTTGAACATGGTCGCAAAGAGACGAAGAGCAAAAAGGGGGTTAAAAAAGTGCATGGCATTTATGATGGGATCAGAGTGCGAGAGTATTGCATCGACATGATTCTTTGTCCAGCTGGAGTTGGCCATAATGAAGGAAGGGCGGGAGAGTGCCAGGGAGTAGTGATACATTAGGAAACGGTAATACCTATGGGAGAAAGTCTTATGATAAGTGTCATGACAATACCAGAGTCACAAACAGAATCGCAGTAGGGGACAAAGTTCTGGAAACAGCAAGAACACAAAATATGGAACGTGGATCACTTGTACTCACCACATCTTCCCGCGGCTCAATACCAACGAGCCTGCGACATCTCCACGGTTGGTATGACCCACCTTTCTGGCCTTGACGCGGGCCAGCATGTCCGTACTGATTGTCGGATAATGTACATATGCACCCATAGGTATGGAGCCCTTAGTAATCCATGCAACTACATGGAATGTAAAAGCGTAACCCATGCTGTCTAGGCGGTATGAGCATCGATAGCCCTACAACATCCAAAACAGGTAGGCCTACCAATGTATAAGTCTGGGATGACTTGAGCTAAAGCTTCCCAAGCGAGAATCATGGACCCAAGGCTCTGGCCAAGAAGTGTAAAACGTGGCCAAGCAGCATCCTCCACTAAGCGTCTCTTCTTTAGGAAGACGAAATGCAAAGTTTTGGGGTCAAGGAAGATATCAAAGCGTGCTTCGACTTGAGCTATTATTTGTTCTTTGGTCACGTCGACGTCTCCAGTATATACCAATGAAATGCAATTAGGATGTGTACGTTGGGTGGCTGCTATAGCGGTCCAGAGGACACGTTCACCTCCCCCACCTGCATTGCTATAAGAATCTCATGAGTCAAAGCATCACCCAGTCCTTGGTGGAAAAAACCTACCAGTAGGGATGGAAGAAACCGATAAATTGGGGGTTTGATATGGTGGGGATGCCGAGGTTCTTGATAATGGCATGGCGAGCCCGTGCTGAGTGTCTGGCAAGTTTATTTGTGTAAGCGGTAAACACGATGATACCAAAGAGGCCTGTTAGAAGAAGGCACAGCAGAGCAGTAGTGGAAACCATGTGCAAGTACTGTATGGTCTGCTCTGAGGCTCACCTTGCCGAGATGGCAAGAAACGCGCCCCGCACTGGTCCCGCAGCACTACATGATTATAAACACAGCCACCTCGCACTACTCTATCACACATGTCCCGTTTGGTTCCGCGGCACGAACCGCGGCAAGGATCCAATAGCAAACTCGAACCAACTCATTAATTCGCACTCGTCTACCAGAAATATTGCGGGGCAGTGCGGGGCCCGTCGGACAGATAGCTATACTCCCCGGGGTAGAACATTTTCATTATTCTGGAATATTGGCGCATGTGCAGCATGTCCAAACTGAACCAAACCACCTCGTAAACAGGAACCGCCACCCGAGATGGAGTTCTACCTCAGTTGACCAGTGGTCGCACAGCAACCTGAGGGTGCGCTATGGAGTTTCTTCTTGACTTATTATTATAGGTTCGCTGCTGTATGCCTCACGAATCGCATGGTAATGTCCTCTACATTTCCTGCGCGAAATTCGCTGTTAACCGACAGCAGTGCACTGGTAGTAAGTTACACGGAAATACTCGGGTGAGTGACTTTCGCCTTCGAGTAAGAGTCAATCAGGTTCTCATGAAAAGTCTAAGGTTCTTGGTTTTGGGTAGCATAAAGACCGGTTCTTGCGGTCACTTTTCCCCAATCAAGAAGCTTGATTCATCAACAGACGCCTTGTACCACCGCGCCTACTTATATAAACTGTGCCAAATTCTTAGATTTTGCCACTCTCTGTCTTCCACGTCCTGCGTCCTTCCCGTGTATCTAGTACACATCATCCATGGCTCCTTTCGATGCCGAACCTATTAAGTCACTCCCAGCACTGGGTGCTGGGAATATTGTCGCCCGCAGTTACCAGTCCGGGTCCATGGACCGTCATACCATGATTGATGTCATCGTCATGATCGGTCAGTTTGCGTTCCTCCAATCATTTAGCAATGAATAGGGTCAATTTCAAAGCCTTTATGTCCATTGTTATGGTTTCCTCCTTTGACTGTGACATTTGTACGACATGATACTGACAACACGTTTCAACACCAGTGATATTCATTGCACTCCTCCTATCACTTTCTGCCTTGGCATGCTTCCGACCTACATCGCTGAGCTCACTCCGTGCGATTCCAGTCCTTGGCACTTCCGTGCCTGTCACCAACACAGCCACGCCTGCGCGTTCAACTGCGACCCCTGGGCGTAGCATTCGCTACTCCAGGCAGATATTGGTGTCGTTATTATTGCACAACTGGTGGATACGTGCATTCCACAATGGCATTCCTCGGCCTGTCACAAATACTGCGCACCATGAACAAACTCTATTTCATGTTGCCCAACTATCTGCCCACACCTCATCAGCAGGTATGGGCAATACTCGCTCACCGAGCTTCACCACTTTTGCACCCATTTCTATATCAGCGGCATCCAGCATCGTCGACACTTTTGTTAATAGCGAAGCCGTAGAGCTTCATATGCTTGGTAGCAGTAAAACCCCGAGCACATCCTCATTAGCGGTAGCCGACGATGCGGATACCCAAATTGTTGTGCTATCTCCTACAGAGCCCATCGCCCGTGCAGATGTGGGCACAGCGCCTGAGGCACCTGATCCATCCTGAATGCTCTACTTTTGATTGCTGCACGGGAGAGGTTAACATCGCAGAAGCCAACGAGGTAGCAAGGGTTGTTAGGTTTTGTAATGAGTGGATCCGAATCTTGGGTTCCACACGCAAGTGGCAATGGGACCGGGCGCGGGGACGGTACATAGGAACCTGTGTCCGTTATTCTGGAATTTGGGATCCACAGTTGTATACTTGTACAATATATCCACCTTGCGCACGTTGATGTTTTCGAGTAGAACATGCCAAACACCGCCCTGTAACCCAGTGTGCTATGTCAGAGCGTCACAACACTGCCTCATTGTGTACACTAGCGAATGGAAGGTTCTCCGAACCCGTACAGCACACCACAGGACGGGAGTTACAAATCCACACGCTGCTTGACGTTAATTGCTCATGATCATATGATATCGCCAGTGGTGCGGCCGAAGTTCCCGCCGGGGTTACTCTCGAGTGTGAGTCTGGAGAAGCATTGCATGCCTTGAGAAGATTGAGTACCGAACGTTTATGTCCAGTATATTGGACGTACGAATGGGCTGACTGATATTTGAACGTCCCTACAGCTAGGACTGCGGAGTTGCCAAGCACCACTAGTGCCCCGTAAAGCACTGGTATTAACAAAGCACGAACGTTCGTGCATCAATATCGGTGTTGCAAGAAAACGGAAACTCCGGGCACTCGAGCTTGTAAACGATGGGGAAGGGTCATCAGAAGACGAATATTGGAGCGAACTTCTGAAGGTACTTACAGGCACCAGCCGGGCCAATTACAGAGCTGTCGGAGTAAGGTATGAGAACAATGATATATTAGCTCGATGTCGATTGGCCACTTAAAATTTGTTCCACTGAGGCTGTAATTTAGAGAGCGCTGGACAGGTGGTACGCTGGCTTGACGCTGACCGAGGCGGTTGAGGGTTTGCAACGAGTCACTCAGGTATGTACGAGGCGAACACTGGCAGTTGAAGTTAACGAAGGATTTCTAGGCAAATTTCGTAATGATTTTTTGAAGCAACAATCAACCGGAAATTTTCGCGAACCGAGAGTTCGTTCTAACTCCTCAGAGGCCTATGGCCCTATTCGCTAGACTGTCTTTCCTCGCCTATAAAGGTCTGGCTGGGGGGCTCTGGGGGGTTTGAACGAAAGTTCCTAACCTCAGGGTAGTCCCATTGTTGCCTAGCAGTGGTGAACCTCCAGGTGGGCGAGTCTCTTATTCTGAATGTATTAACCATAACTATGCTTACCTGGGTTCTTCTCCAACAGCCGTGATGGCTAGCTCTTATGTCGTTCCACTTTCGGATGACATCCTCCTTATGATCTTCAAGCTGGTGCGCGAAGAAGACCAAGTTGTCTTCGACAACTATCTCCAGGAAGAAAATGCTTTCATAGGCAGACATTGGGACGATTGGGGAGAAGAATTTGATTGTGACTATGAGCAGTGGCAATTCGAATTAGCAGATCACCTTAGCGCTGGCAATATCGATGACTCCCCACCCCGATCGACGCTTTTGAAAGCCATGGGTGTGTGCAAGCATTGGTACTCGCTCTTATACCAGACTCCATCGATGTGGATCGTACTAGAAATCTCCTTCCGCGAAGGTGCTGCAGCTCTCGAACACGCGCGGACATTTCTCCAGCGTAGCGGGTCAAATCCCATCCAAATCACACTTCTTTGGGACCACCCCACTTGGATTGTGCCAGTCCCGAAGGATGACATCGCGAGTGGTGGAGGAGGATTACCACCCCCATCACGTGAAGAAATCATGGCCGGTGTTTATCTTGGCTTGGTCATTCAGGAGCTGTATGCCCATGTGCATCGTTGGCGCGAGTTTACGCTCAGGACGACCTCCATTACCCACACATATCAAGCGCTTTCGTTGATGTCACGCCCGTCCATCCATCCTGCCCACAGCCTAGAAAAACTGCATCTTCAGTTCATACACAACCCACGTCATGCGGCTCACCATGTCAACGAACCATCACTTTTCCCTGGTTCAGCGCCTCCTATCCGCGATCTTCTTCTTTTTGGCAGTAAGTTGGACTTGGCCATCATCGTCCATGCTGTCATCTAATCTCGTGGACCTGCGGATTCGTTATGATGGCTCCATGAATGAGGACGGCGGAAATTCACGCACGGGTCCTGAGGCAAAGATGTTGTGGCAGTTCCTTGGCGGACTCGTCAATCTCCAGACTCTGGCGCTCGAGGTGGACCTTGAATCCTTTGATGCAGACACCATCGAGTTGCCTCGTTTACATAGCCTGACTATCAAGTCAGGCTCAATGACATCCTGGGCTGTGGAATTTCTCGGCAACACCCAAATGCCTGATCTCCGAATCTTAACCTTATGTGCAACTACGGAGGATTCTGACAGTGTCGAAGGTCTCCTTGACGGCGTATTGCTCGATCTTACCGGTTCTGAGGCTCCTCTGGAGCTGGATGAACTCCATCTCTTTAATTTCGTAGATCCAGATACTGAGCTTCTTCATCGCCTGTACGCCCAGATGCCCACGCTTAAAACTTTGACATTGGGACCAGGGGCGAATGCCAACAATCTCGCCCTTGCAATGGGACTGCTTCCCACACCCAACGAACTTGGATTACCGCATCCCCCTCTCCCTGGACTTCAGACACTGGTCGTGTTTGACATTCCAAAACAACTCGTACGGCGCATCGTACGAGAACGACAGTCCCTCGCTGGTCCGTTGGTGGAGCTTTACTGTCGTTACCGTGGAGGCCATGAGGATGGGGGCGTCCCAGATGATTGGCAACACCAAGTCGGGAAATACCATCATATTGATCGCTTGAAGTCTGCTCGTTACACTGACGTGGTTGCCAGGCGGTGGTCATAATCAGTCTAGTACCTTGTTCACTTACCACGTACTTAAGGGATCGAAAAAGCTTGTGCACATTAGCCCCACTCAATTTGCAGTCAAACTCATCTTGCATGTCGACATGCTCATTTGGAGGTCATTACAGCTGTGTGCGAAACTAATGGCAGTGGCAAAATTTTTGCACCCGCGGTGACGAAAAAGGAAATACATAGAACGACGTGTCCTGGATGCTGGGGAAAGCTCTTGTGACTTGTACAAGTTTTCAGACACTAATGGTACTCAGAATAAAATCTTGAACATCGGCTAAAGTCTCTTGAAGGTCGGCTACTCTAATGTCAAAGCACAGCATGCGGTATACCGCAATTCAAGGTCAGTCCGGCATCGTGCTTCGGAGTTCGAAAACACATGCCTGCTGCTCGTCAACGTGCTTGCCGGTCTGCATGACTTCGAGCTAACACTTGTCTGCTCTCGAGGGGAATGGACCCCCCTCCATCCACCTTGAATATTTATTCCACCCCTCCCAGTGATACTGGACCCAGGGTAATGGTTCAGTGGGAAGGAAGATGCTCTCTCTGATATTCTTATTGACCATCTCACATCTAACTCTGCTGATCATTGGATTCTCTTCTATTCTGATGGCAAAAAAATGCCTATTACTGATGGTGAAAAGGCCTTGGGCAAGGACAAGAGTGACATCTATGCTGTCATCACCAAACTGATATTTGCAGATCACACCAAATATGGCCCTGCATACCATCAGAATCTGAAGAAATTTTGCAATTCAGTCACAAACCACATCATGAGGTACATAGTCTCCTATTAATACTTATGTATGCTGATAAAACTCCTAAAAATCTTGCAGTCTCAAAAGCAAGTATAAAAAGCTCAAGGCCAGATTTGGTGCCACTGGCACTGGTGTACTGCCTGGTAGTGGGCATGCAAATTTATTCAGTGAGTCATCTGTTGCTGATTTTTATTGCCATCTGATTGTACTTTTTAGCCAAAGTCTGTTCTGAATGGAAGTGGTTTGTGGACCTTGATGGAATCTGGCACTCGAACCCTGCATTTGCAGTAATGTCGCACTCATCAGGCCAGGTGTTGATCATGCTGGTCAGATGTACTCACTTGTTCAGCCATCATGTAGTATGACTGCCACTTGTGTTCAGCCTCAGGCTTCCAGCATCACAAACACTCAGTCTACCTATGGCAATCCCCCCATCCAAGTTAATCTGCAATTCCAGTCTGCTCCTGCCCTCCCCCATCATAATAATCCCCCTGTTATTCCCACTGCTCCTGCCCATCATAATGATCCTCCAATTGACCTGTGTCTTCTCTGACATTCATCCACATTTGCTGATGATACTCCTGACCCTACTCTTCCTGGTCACCCTCCTCAGGTCCACCTGTGTGGACTCCCTCACACTGATGACAATTTTCCAATGGACCAAGCTGATACTTCACCCCCACTGGACCACCTGCAGGACAATGAGGGAATGCAGGAAGATGAGGGAATGCAGGATGATGAAGGAATGCAGGATGATGATGAGGGAATGTGGGATGACATAGAGGTCCTCGATACCCCTCCAAAAGTTGTAAGAAAAAAACAGTGGATTTTTGTATCGCCCTCACCCTCTCCCCCTCCTGACCCAGAACCCTTCTATATGCCTGTAAAGGTACCTACTGCCACCTACAACAATCATTCAGCATTTGCCCACCAGGCTGGCAGCTACAGGGGGCAACACAAACCTCCATTGATGTCACACAGTATGTCAACCCCTTCATCCACAGCTCACAACACAGTTTCGTCATTGTCAACCCCACAGATGTTGTTATTGGCGCAACCAAATGGCAGGATGAAGAAAAAGAAAGCAAAATTGGATGTACAGGATCAAGTAGATAATCTGGCAGGGGAAATTGGTAGCATCCAGTCCAATGTCATGTCCATCTGCGACTCAAAGCATCAATGATTTCTTGCCAAGCTGGAAGCGAAGAGCGAAAACAACTGGGACACTAAAAAATATAACTGGCTTCATGATATGTGTGCACACAAGGCATCTCAGGCCATTCTGAGCCATCAGTGAGAGCAGGAGAATAGGGCTGCTGAAACTCACCTTTGTGAAGTTGACATTCAAGTGCATGAGGCACATTCAACAGTTCTCAACAAGGAGGCAGAGAATCTGCATTTGCGGATTCAGTATCATCAACTGATGCAGGGTGGTGGCAGTGGAAGTACCTGAGTCCCATGTTGCTGTCATTGTCATTGTGTTGTCATTGTGTTGTCGTGTTGTGGTTGTCATCATGTTGTGGTTGTTGTTGTTGTTGTTGTTGTTGTTGTTGTTGTTGTTGTTGTTGTTGTTGTTGTTGTTGTTGTTGTTGTTGTTGTTGTTGTTGTTGTTGTTGTTGTTGTTGTTGTTGTTGTTGTTGTTGTTGTTGTTGTTGTTGTTGTTGTTGTTGTTGTCATCATCATCATTGTCATTGTCATTGTCATTGTCATTGTCATCATCATCTCTTCATTGTCTCATTATTTCATTGATGTGCACATTGCTTTCTGTTGCTGTCCTGTTGTGATTTTGATACTTATTTGTCTTCATCATACATATGTTTGCATACATCTTACTTGTACAAGTATACTACTGGTAGTAGTCATCTTCTTGGTCAATATGAGCATGGTTCACCCTTCCCTGTGCTGTGCCTTGGAATAAGGACTGTCAAAGAGCTGATCCATCAGCTTTGAATGAGTAGTCTGTCCTGGAGTTCCTTCATAAGACCTGTCACCCACTACATTATTACCATCTGGACCCTCAACATCTTGAGGAATGAAATCTTGACCCTCTTCACAAGCCCATTTCAAAGTACTCTCGTATGTTCCATCCTGCTTGTGATGACGAGTTTTGAAGTGAATGATCATGTTGTGGAGGATGATACAACACTTGATCCATTGCACAGCAAAATTCAAGTCCTTCTCTTTCTGAATCTTGAACTGGAGCTCTTGGAGAGATTGGAACTGCCCCTTCAAAGCAGCAAATGCATGTTCAACATGTACATGGATCTAAATAAATTTAAATTTATTGAAAAAATTGGAATTAAAAAAAACCTTAGATAGGTGATAATTGAATGTCTTCTGGTCTTTTGTCAACTGACCATTGCATGGTTTCTTGAATGGAGCAATACACCATGGCTCCAATGGATATGCACTATCTGCCCAAACCCAGTGACCATCAGGAAGAAGATTTTCATGCTCTTCATAGAGGTGAGTGGATCAAAAGGCAAATGCATCATGGACACTCCCAGGATGTCCAAGAGAATAATCAACAATCAAGAGATTGTGGGGCATAATAACTGCCTAGAATTAAATCAATTTATCTGGAAAAAAAATAAGAAAGAAGAACACATTACTTGACAGCCAAGGGAATAGTTGGATTTCCTGTCAAAAAAAGCCTCCCCATAATAACCAGGTTTGGTGAAAAGTTCAATGGTTGAACCATTAACAGCTAGATAACCACCCCTCCACTCTGGACAAGTCTTTACCTCAGCATATTTCTGGGCAAGGTGGGTGTCCTCAGAATTATCTTCTGGGAAGGAGATAAACTGATCATGTGCTTTGAGCAGTGCAACCATTGCGTGATTAGTGCAATTGGCTACGGACCTGGCACTTGCACCTGCCCATTGAGCAACATCCTCAAGAGTAATGGCATTGCCATAATGGCCAGCACGATTGAGAAAGATGGCAAGCTGGATGGAGACAGGGAGCTGAGGATTATTGGAGTTGTTCTGAAAGATAGGGTGATCAGAGATATGATCAAGGATATGATCAAAGATCTCTGGGTTGACATGAAGTTTCTGCTGAAACAACTTGGGGTGGTGTTTCTCATGGTGAACTAGCATATGAAGCTGAGGAGCTCGTGGTGGAGGTTCATCAGGTTTGTGGATTACATGTGCCCTCTCAACCTCATCATGCAAAGCAGCAATAGTGTGTTGGAGCCTATCATAATGAATGGCAATCTCATCTTCATCATCACTGGAAGAATCAGAAGTGCCAGAAAGACCAGAGATAGAAGACATTAAGGATGGTGGGGTCAGAGAGCTGAAAGACATATTGGTAGAGTCAGTGTCAGAGTTAGAGTTAGAGTTAAAGTTGGAGTCAGAGTCTGTGTCAGTGTCGAGTCTGTGTCAAAGTCTGATAAATCATCTAGGAGTTCATTCTGGAGTTGTAACTTGGCTAGGGCAAGGGCAGCCTTGTTAACAGCATTGAGGAGGTCTTTGCATGCAGATTTGCAAGGCATAGTGGGGTGAGAGTGGAGGGGATCAAAACCCCTATCATTTGGTGTATACATATGTGACACAGTATGTAGTGGAGTTTTAAATTTCAGCAAATTCTGAAGTTTCGTCTCATGCTGAGCATGTTGGTGTCGTCATTGACCTCACCCTCAACCTCACCCTTGAACCTTAATGCTTACCCATATCATTAGTTTTCCAGGTGTTATTCACTCAAGGTAAGTAATTGTTGTCCCTCTCACAACTTTCAGCTAACATTTACCTTATCTTACAGGAAATCTATTATAATCCAGGTTCTACACATATCCCACCTGACCTTATCTTTACTGGCAAGCCACTCATCCTCCCACCTTGTCATTCCCCCAATCTTCTACACCTACTCTAATGAGGAGCCGACTCTATGTTTGTTCCGATCCGGCTGGCTCGAGGGCTCTTGGTGATCTTGTGCACTTGAGAGCCAAGAGCAAATTGCAGATGAGCGCCAAATCATCTTCTGATCATCCTACTGCACTGGTAGACAATTTGCCAAGCCTGAGCATTGGCATTGTCACTGTGCAAATGATGGGTGTTGAACTGGAGAAGGAATGCTGGCAAAAGAGTCCACATTTCACTTGGTCTTGTGCCTCCACAGAAGCATGCAGATCTTCCTGATACTCTTTCTCCTCCCCCAGCTACTTGGCATTTTCCTCCCCCTCTTCCCCCCCCCTTCCTTAGCACTTGTTTCATTTTGTCCAGTGTTCTCTACCTATGGCCAATTTTAGGGGGACTTCATTCTTTTTATTAATGTTGTCATTCAAAATATGACATATGTTGGAGCATCTACTAGT